ATAAGAAATTACCACAAACTTGGTAGCTTCAAAGAGCAGAAATGTGTTCTCTCACAATGCTGAAGGTTAGAAGTCTGAAATCAAAGTATAGGCAGGGCCATGCTTGCTGTGAAGTCGCTAGGGGCGAATCTTTCTTTACCTCTTCCTAGCTTCTGTTGGTTGCCAGCAGTCCCTGGCTTATAGGTGCATCATTCCAGTCTCTTCCTAGCTTCTGTTGATTGACAGCAGTCCCTGGCTTGTAGGTACATCATTCCAGTCTCTTCCTAGCTTCTGTTGGTTCCCAGCAGTCCTTGGCTTATAGGTGCATCATTCCAGTCTCTTCCTAGCTTCTGTTGGTTCCCAGTAGTCCCTGGCTTATAGGTGCATCATTCCAGTCTCTTCCTAGCTTCTGTTGGTTCCCAGTAGTCCCTGGCTTATAGGTGCATCATTCCAGTCTCTTCCTAGCTTCTGTTGATTGACAGCAGTCCCTGGCTTGTAGGTGCATCATTCCAGTCTCTTCCTAGCTTCTGTTGGTTCCCAGCAGTCCCTGGCTTGTAGGTGCATCATTCCAGTCTCTTCCTAGCTTCTGTTGGTTCCCAGCAGTCCTTGGCTTATAGGTGCATCATTCCAGTCTCTTCCTAGCTTCTGTTGATGGCCAGCAGTCCTTGGCTTATAGGTGCATCATTCCAGTCTCTTCCTAGCTTCTGTTGGTTCCCAGCAGTCCTTGGCTTATAGGTGCATCATTCCAGTCTCTTCCTAGCTTCTGTTGGTTCCCAGCAGTCCTTGGCTTATAGGTGCATCATTCCAGTCTCTTCCTAGCTTCTGTTGATGGCCAGCAGTCCTTGGCTTATAGGTGCATCATTCCAGTCTCTTCCTAGCTTCTGTTGGTTCCCAGCAGTCCTTGGCTTATAGGTGCATCATTCCAGTCTCTTCCTAGCTTCTGTTAGTTCCCAGCAGTCCCTGGCTTATAGGTGCATCATTCCAGTCTCTTCCTAGCTTCTGTTGGTTCCCAGCAGTCCTTGGCTTGTAGGTGCATCATTGCAGTCTCTGGCAATGTATGGCTGTCTCTGCTCTGTATCTGTGTTTCTGTGTCCAAATTCCCCTTTCCTTATAAGGACATCCATCATACTAGATTCAGGGCCCATCCTGATTCAATATGTCCTCGTCCTGACTTGTATCTGGAAGTTATGGTATTTTCACATTCACAGGTTCTGAGTAGACATGAATTTGAGGAGCACACTATTCAGCTCAGTACGCTCACCGAGTAAGCACTCAGTCAATACTTGCCATCAAAATTCTGAGTATTGGATGAGTGCAGTGATGCACACAAGTAATCCCAACCCTTTGGGAGGCCAAGGTGGAAAGATTGCTTGAGCCAGGAGTTGAAGACTTGCCTGTACCACATAGCAAGATCCCATCTCTACAAAAAAATATATTTTAAAAAATTAGCTGGATGTGGTGACACATGCCTGTAGTCCCACCTACTCAGGAGGCGAGAAGATCACTTGGCCCCAAGGGAGCAAGGCTGCAGCAAGCTATAATTGCATCACTGCACTCCAGCTTAGGTGACAGAGCAAGATGCTATCTATAAAAAAAATTATGCAAGTTATTAAATTCTATCAGCAAACCTTGGAGATGGATATTATCCTTGTTGAACAATGAACTGAAATGTGAGTTAAGTCATTTTATCTAATGCTATTTAAAGCAGAGCAAAGATGCAAACCTGGAGGGACTTTAAAACCAGGGCAGGTCACCAGCCACAATCATGCACAATGAGCTGGTCCTGACAAGCAAACAGGAGTTCTCTGGACAGTGTGAAAAAAGGAGATCAGGCAGGGTAAAGACGCTGCAAAGTAAACAGGAAATTGCTTCCTGATGCCAGCTCTCAGCTCGTTCATAGACGGTGAGGTTGGAAGGCCTGACAGACTTCCCTAGCCCAACCCCTCCTTGTTCAGACAAAGACTTAAAGAAATTCAGTCATTTGCCCAGGGCCCTTTATCTGGTTGGTGAAGATCCTAGGCTACAATCTACATTTTGGCCTCAGAGTTCAGCACTTTTATTTATTTGGTTTTTTTGTTTGTTTAGATGATGACCATAGACAAGGCCAAAAGAATGTCAGCCCCTACATGCACATCAGCCTTGCCTGTGTCTGGCAGGCAAGGAAATGTGTCACTAGCCCTTGACCTGTAAGGCAGCTATGGACCCACACAAGAAGCAGGTCTGAGCATCTTCGCCCTTCTCCCACTTCCATTGCCAAACACAGAGCCTAGTTATAAAGGCTAACGATACAAAAGTTGAGAATCAAAGAAATGCTAAAGGCTTCTTGAAGAAGACAGTGTGGCAGCAGCAACTCAATCTGGGAAAGGCGCAAAAGCATGAAGTCCAATGCAGAGTGTAGTCAGGACCCTATCGTCCAGGACTGAGCAGACCGCAGGGAGAGCCTGTCTCTAACCTAGGGTGAGATGAATCATATTAGCAGCTACTCAAGACAGTTTCTGGACATCTCTGAGATTTAAAAAATAATAACGGCCGGGCACGACGGCTCTCGCCTATAATCCCGGCACTTTGGGAGGCCGAGGCGGGTGGATCACAAGGTCAAGAGATTGAGACCATCCTGGTCAACATGGTGAAACCCCGTCTCTACTAAAAATACAAAAATCAGCTGGGCACGGTGGCGTGTGCCTGTAGTCCCAGCTACTCGGGAGGCTGAGGCAGGAGAATTGCTTGAACCCAGGAGGCGGAGGTTGCGGTGAGCCGAGATCGTGCCATTGCACTCCAGTCTGGGTAACAAGAGCGAAACTCCGTCTCAAATAATAATAATAATAACAAATAAAAAATCGAAATCTTTCCCTTTACCACTGCCAAGCCCTGGGGTATGAATGTCCTGCCCCCAGCTGTCCTCCCCTTCTCAAAACACAATCAAAGGGACCTTTCCAATGTGCAGCCTGATCATGCCCCTCCCCTCACTGCCTGCTTCCCCATGAACCTCAGAATAAAAGGCAAACTGCTTTTCCCTGTACAAAGGCCCCTAGGTAGAGGATATTCCTATCTTTCCAGTTTTACCCCTTGCCACCAGAAAAAATATTTATATGCATACATACATGTTCTCCTCTTTTTCACTCAGCTTCTGCCACGCAGCTGATTGTCTCCCCCAGCCTCAGTGCCTTTGCACATGCCTGATATGCCCTACCTGCTCTATCTCCCTTTACTTAACAGCTAATTGTCTTTAATGTGTCTGTACATCTCATTCTAGGAATCTATATTAAAGGTGTACAGAGATGTATATGCGGGTTATATTATACGAACCTTAGACTGGAGGAAAAACTTTTAAAAAGAGATATATATGCAGGGATGCTTATTACTTTATTTTGCATTAGGGAAAGTATAGGAACGATGTCTATCTATGGGTTAAATAACTTGTGTCCATCTATCCTGTGGATACCTTGGAGATGGAAGAGGATGACAGACGTGCATAGAGGAACATGGGAAGATTTCCAGGGCATGTTGTACTGGGGAGTCCTGGAAGCAAAGAGAGACAGGCTCATACATGGTAGATGACCTCTCCTGTCATCCCGAGTAAAGAGTCTCGAGTAGGGGCTTAGGGAAGGTATAAAAAGGGGGTTTACTATCAATGGATCCCAGGTCTTTAGAGAGCCAAGTTTTCCCTAATAACCCCTCACTGGGTATTCAGGTCATAAAAAGCATGTATTTTTGTGTGCCATTAATGACCAAAATTTCACGTTGTATAGTTTCATTGACTAAATTAAAAATCATCTGCACTTTTTTTTTGAGACAGAGTTTCACTCTTGTTACCCAGGCTGGAGTGCAATGGCACGATCTCGGCTCACTGCAACCTCCACCTCCTGGGTTCAGGCAATTCTCCTGCCTCAGCTTCCTGAGTAGCTGGGATTACAGGCACATGCCACCGTGCCCAGATAATGTTTTGTATTTTTAGTAGAGACGGGGTTTCACCATGTTGACCAGGATGGTCTCGATCTCTTCACCTCGTGATCCACCTGCCTCGGCCTCCCAAAGTGCTGGGATTACAGGCTTGAGCCACCGCGCCCGGCCCATCTGCACTTTTTACAAAGGGATACTGGCTTCAAATGAAGCTATGTTCCTGAGGGTATTTGATTTGGGGTCAGGAAACCTGCACTCAATCCTTAATTTCCCACTGACTAAATCTCTCACTTGGGTTGAGTATTTGTAATTATTTGTGTGAGCTTCATTTTCCTCATCCCTGCCTTGAGAGAGGTGGACAAAATTATCTCTGTGGTCTTTTGTTGTAAGATTCTATTTGTCTATTACTCTAAAGGCTTGTGGAATGTTAATAAGAATAATGATCACTAATGTATTGCTAGTGATGACCATGTGATAGACACTGTTCTTCGCTTCTTATATATATTAACCATTTTAAGTATCATAGCAACATATGAAATAAATACGATTATCTCTGACCATGTGATAGACACTGTTCTTAGCTTCTTATATATATTAACCATTTTAAGTATCATAGCAACATATGAAATAAATACGATTATCTCTATTGTATGGAAGAAGCTGGGGCCCAGAAATTAAGAATGTTCAAAGTCACACAGCTGGAAAGTTGTGGAGCGATTAACAATCCTAAATCCAGGCAGTCTGACTCCAGGATCTATGATGGCAGCCGTTCTGTTATGTTGCAATTAAAGGCAACCTTTTTCTTGCTACCTGATTTAATGATTCATCCAAAAAAAAATTAGTGTTTAGGAAGCAAATCTGAAGAACTGATATGAAAAATATAGATGAATATAAAAAAAGTATCTGCAAGAAACCTAATATAAAAAGCAAGCAAAAGTGTTACTTAAATATTTAGCATTTTTATGACATGTTACTTCTATGTACCATAATGTAACTATATCTGCTTACTTCAAATGCAAGAAAAAAGATGTCACAACTACCTCATTCTTATGCATGTTTTTCTCTGAAAATAACACCGTAAGACACACATGGCAATGATGCTTTCAATTTTAATTTCACAGATGAAAGAACTCGGTCTCATCTTCTACAACTGCAGCTGCCTGGTCCTCGATTTACAAAGGATATTTGCTCTATATAGTTCATTAAAATTCAAAAGCAGAGTGCCTCAAACCTGGTCCAAAAGACTCTATGGAGTCTACGACAATGAAAAGAAATTGCAACTTCAGTTGAATGAAACCAAATCTCAAGCATTTGTGTCGGTGAGTTGTTCTCCCTTTCTCCTCCCCTTCTCCTTCTTCCTCCACAAGGCTCTTTATTAAATTGGCATGCTTACGTGTGATCTTGTATTGGGAAAAAATGAATGACAGTGGTTCTATCCCATAACTCAAAGAGTTAAAATGTGTCCACTCTTACACTGCATCGTACGCTCAGACATAATAATCTTGATCAGCATTCCTCGTGTCAGATATATTGAGTTATCTGATTTGATTTCCTCAGTCACCCTGTAAGCTAAGCCTGGGGTTGTGACCATTTTGCAAATGAAGGTATTGACACTTATCTACTGTTAAAACACATGCTCTGAATAAAGAGACCCCCAAACAGGCTATGTGTGAGCAACGTGGCTGTTTATTCACCTGGGTGCAGGTAGGCTGAGTCCGAAAAGAGAGTCAGTGGAGAGCGGTGGGATAGGAGTTGGTTTTATAGGTTTGGCGTAAGCAGTGGAAAGTTACAGAAGTTACAGTTTAGGGAGGTTTTATGCAAGCTCAGAGGGGTCGTAGGTTTGCAAACTAGGAGGGGGTAACAGGGTCTGGAATCACGAGGTTGACCAAGGTCGGTTACAAAGTCCAGTGGCCTTGTCAATTGAGGCCGGAATAAGAAACAATAGAAGAATGTCTCGGGTTAGTTAGGTGCTGCAAGGGTTGGTCACTCTTCCACTTTTCATGATCTTCCAGCTACTTCAGGTTTTCTAATTCCAGAAGGCCCTCCAGAGGTGTATGTGTGGGTCATGGGGGTCACCATGCCGTCCACAGCACAGTCAGACCTTACACCTCCTCGCAAAAAGTCCATCAAATGGGACATGCCAAGAGAGGTGCCAGCACCCAGCTCTTCTCACACCAGAGCCTATTAGCCTATTTTCTTTCTTTCTTATTATGCTTTAAGCCCCGCTGAGTGATGTTCTCCTCCCTGTGTCCATGTTTCTTATTGTTCAACACCCACTTATGAGTGAGAACATGTGGTGTTTCGTTTTCTGTTCTTGTGACGGTTTGTATTAGCCCCTTTCCAGTGCCCTACACTGATGATGTTTCAGACTTGTTTTAGCAGTAGAACCCTTTGATGAGACAAATCTGAGGGAATCTCGGTGTATAAATCAGACAAAAACAGAGCTGCTATACCGGGTTGGGCCATGCAGGCAGGAGGCCCACGCAGCAGGACAGTGCTCCTTCCACAGCTTTGCACCACTGACTCTGCTGAGAACCCTTAGCCACACCCCCAGCCCCTCACCTTTCCAGTCCACCACCCAGCTGGCCACATGCCTCAGCTATCCAGAGATGTTACTGGGAATGGGCAATGCAAATATCTGGGCCTACGGTCCTAGTGCTCCAGCCGTAGTACAGTAGATCCTTGAATAACATTGTGCTGTTCAATGCCCATTCATTATAATGTTGATAAGAACAAAAAGTTGATTTCCAGCTGGGGTCACTGTGTGTGTGGAGTTTGCACATTCTCCCCATGTCTGTGTTGGTTTTTGCCGGATACTCTTGTTCCCTCCCATATCCCAAAGCTGTGCAAGTGAGATGAACTGGCAGCTCTATGTGGTCCCAGTGTGAGCAAGTTTGAATGTATGTGTGACTCTGCCCTGCGATGGGATGTCATCCTGTCCACAGGGGTCCTGGCTGCGTCGGGCTCTGGCCACCTAGGATCCTGGGTGAATAATTATTTTACTTGTGGGTAAATAATTATTTTACTTGTTTTTATTAATCTTTTTGTTTTGTTTTGTTTTGAGACAGAGTCTTGCTCAGTCGCCCAGGCTAGACTGTAGTGGCACAATCTCGGCTCACTGCAACTTCCGCCTCCTAGTTCAAGTGATTCTCCTGCCTCAGCCTCTCAGTAGCTGGGATTGCAGGCACCCCAGCTACTACCAGGCCACCATGCCCGGCTAATTTTTTTTGTATTTTTAGAAAAGACAGGGTTTTATCATGTTGGCCAGGCTGGTCTTGAACCCCTGACCTCATATGATTTGCCCTCCTTGACCTCCCAAAGTGTTGGGATTACGGGCATGAGCCACTGCACCCGGCCATTAATCTTTCTTAAATGTATGTATGGCTCACATTTGTTTCAATGTTTAATATTTGAAGTATTTGGTCTTTAGAGGTTTCGTGCTGTTTTTGTGACCAGAAATAACCCATAGCAACTTAACTCTTGTTTATATCAATAGCCTCTGGTAAAATTGTTATCATATATCAGCTCGCTTAAAGTCATAGTATTCAAGAACCAGTGGACAGCATTAAGTGAGGACTTACTGTACTTAAGAATTGGCTAGGAAGCCTGTGTAAAGGGCAGGTTTACAGTCGCCCCTGTCCCCATCCAGATCTTATCCACTGGGTCGGAGATGAGATCTTGGAATTTTTATTTGAAGCCTCTAAACTTACCCTGATGTTCAGATCAACTTCTCTAAGTAATGCTCCCAATATAAATTGCTATATTAGCCTTGAATGATATCAGGTTTTTTCTGTTGTTGTTGTTGTTGTTGTTTTTTGAGACAGAGTTTTACTCTTGTTACCCAGGCTGGAGTGCAATGGCACGATCTCCGCTCACCGCCATCTCCGCCTCCTGGGTTCAGGCAATTCTCCTGCCTCAGCCTCCTGAGTAGCTGGGATTACAGGCACGCGCCACCGTGCCCAGCTAATTTTTTGTATCTTTAGTAGAGACAGGGTTTCACCTTGTTGACCAGGATGGTCTCGATCTCTTGACCTCATGATCCACCCGCCTCGGCCTCCCAAAGTGCTGGGATTACAGGCGTGAGCCACCGCGCCCGGCCATCCTTTGTTATTTTCTAGGGCAAATTTAGAAGTGGCTTTTTCTTAAAGAGTTCACTGCTAAATTAGTTGTGAAACATTTACTTGGGTGGTCTTTTAAATTATGTAACACCTTTACTTTCTATTTTTATTTACTCATTTTAGTTTGCTGTTTTATTTTATATTTTTTGTTAATATCAAGCCTAACCTTGAATTTCAATTCAACAGATACTGATTGAACACCATTTCTGGAGAGCTATAAAATCTTACAGGTACAACAAAAGTCAGAAAACCCTGCTATTAGAATTTGTATCATTCAGACAGAGCTTCTTGAACTCCCCTCTATTTTATCATTTATCACATTTTTATAACTATTTACTTATAAATATCTTTCCTACCATTTTATTAGACTCTGAGAATCATCTAGTGTTAATATATTCTTTTCATAATTGGTATTTCCAGAACTTAACTTGGTGTTAGCTTAGAACAATAAATGTTGGATAGGTTTTATCAATGGTAATATTAACACAAAGCTCCAGAATGCATCGTTTTCTCAGTAACATATGTCAGACAAATGCCAAGACAGATTTACTGAAATTCAATATATTTGTTGTAAATATCTTAAAATAGTATATTTTTATAAGCTGATTGTCTCAAGACTAAGTGGAACACACATATAGTGTTTGAAAACCTTACCAACCATTCTCTAAATTGAATTTTAGATAATTGATAACAGCATAGTTTGATATAAATTTTAACTTATACATATAAAAATTATTTGCAATTTTTTTCATGGAATGCAAGTAGGCACTTAGATTTAACTGTGTGATTTCTAGTAACTTGGAGCCAGATAATTCTAAGTTTCTTATATTTCCTGTTGAAATTGGAGGATGGGAGAATAGTTGGCTGTTTCTGTTTTGTAGATTTCTTTCTAGAGTTCTTAAGCTGAAGCAATTGTTTTCAAGATAAAGACTAGTTCGAGGTCTGTTTTTATTGATCTGGATGTCAAACGGATTTCATTTATTTTATTTTTTTGTTTTGTTTTGTTTTTTGAGACAGAGTCTTGCTCTGTCACCCAGGCTGGTGCAGTGGTGAGATCTTGGCTCACTGCAATCTCTGCCTCCCAGGTTCAAGCAATTCTCCCGTCTCAGCCTCCCGAGTAGCTGGGATTACAGGTGCATGCTGCCTCACCTCGCTAATTGTTTGTATTTTAGTAGAGACAGGGTTTCACCATGTTTCCCAGGCTGGTCTCCTGAGCTCAGGCAATCCACCTGCCTCAGCCTCCCAAAGTGCTGGGATTACAGGTGTGAGCCACCGTGCCTGGCCAGATTTCATTTCTTATTGTTTATTGTTCAGTTAATTCACCTACCAGTCATGTATACTGAGATCTGTTTAGTGAGTGAGGCCTGACATTAAATAGAACTTGATGCTGGTATGGAAAAATACCATCTCACATTCCTCTTTAAAACCTTCTGCGTATATTGTTAATTCATTTAACAGCATTACAGAGATGTAATTTAAACACCCTAAAATTCACCCTTTTAAAGTATACAATTCATGCCAGGCGTGGTAGCTCACACCTGTATTCCCAGCACTTTGGGAGGCTGAGGCTCGCTGATCACTTGAGGTCAGCAGCTCAATACCAGCCTGGCCAACATGGCGGAACCCCATCTCTACTAAAAATACAAAAAAAAAAAAAACACACACACACACACACACACACACAAAATAAAAAATAAATAAGTATACACTTTAGTGGGGTTGAGTACAGTCACAGGCACAATTTGCAACCATTTCTACCATCTAATTTTAGAACTTTTTTTCTTCACCACAAAGAAAAACACCCAGACTGATTAGCAGTCACTATTTTCCCCTCCCTCAGTCCCTGGCAGCCACTAATCTACTTTTTTCTTTATGGATCTGCCTTTTTCTGTACATTTTATGGAAATGGAATCATATGTATATAGTCTTTTGTGACTGCTTCTTTCACCTGACATAATGCTTTCAAGGTTTATCCATGCTGGAGCCTGGAGCAGTGCTGCCTTCATTCCTTTTCATGGCTAAATAATTCCATTGTATGGATATGCCACACTGTGTTTACCCATCTATCAACTGATGGGCATGGAAGTGTTTCTACTTTTTGGCAATTGTAAATAATGCTGCTATATTCATGTACAGGTTTTTAGGTGAATACCTGTTTTTAATTCTTTTGAGTTTATACATAGGAGTGGATTTACTGGTTA